AAAAAAAATTGCTTAAATTTAAATAAGAATTTTTCAGAAAGTGCAAACCCTTTAAGCATTTAATTTGATATTTACCAAGCATTTTCGCCCAATGGGCCACAGTGCCTGGCAGCCACGTTGAAAAGACGAGTCGGCATTTTTGGCCAACGGGGACCATTCCGAAAGGGGCCACAAAAGTTGTAGACACACACTCACCGTTTCCATTATCCCACATTCCCATTTCCTCGCTGGCTGCAACTTTTCAATTTGCTCGCCCCGACTATTTACAATTTGGGGGAAAACAAAACGAAACGAAAGGAAACACGGGTGGAAAATATATATTTAGAGCCTTAATATCCAGTTTCGGCTACCATTTCGAATTTGCCTGTGTCTCGACGTGCGACTATGTCTGTCATTTAGATTTAAATTTAGTGGCTACTTAAAAGACTGGCGGCGTCTTAAGTGGATTTTCAGTGTCTGAAAAATGTTTTTCAAATTGTCAATTAGTCTGCTGTGTTCTACGCAATCAAAGTATCGAATGAGACACAAGCGCTAGCATAATGAAAATAATCCCCAGCACACATTTTTCCCAACTCAATACCAACTGGCAATTATATCCTTTGGACACAAGCGTCACGCTCCATAAAATTGAAATGAAATACTAAACTTGGGTCGTTATGACGCTGATTGCCATGAACTGCAAGCGCATACGGGGAATTGCAGCGTCCGAGACATAAACATAAGGCGGAAAAATGGAAAAAATGGCCAAGATGGCCAGCAGGATGGAGAAGTGACCTAATAAAGTTTGTGTCCTTTGTCGCTGCCATATTTTTCGCTGTGAAATCAATTTTTCATTTTGAGGCAGCATGACGACGCCATTTTCCCCAGAACCCAGAACAATATATGCTCGGCAATCGTCATGAGAACATTGAAAGTGACTCCGGAGCAGACAGTCTAATGGTTTATATAATGCCGAAATGTCCAAAAACTGAACAACAACATAACATAAATATGCTGCAAGTGGCTTGAAAAGAACAAAAGCCAGATGCTTTCGACTTTTATGACTCATACGCAACGTTGCACAGAGTTCGCCCAAAAACAAAGTGCATCAACAGACAAAAGACAAAAGAAAGTCAGTCGTTTGCCAAGTTGGCAACTGAGATTTGCTAGACACAGATAGCACTCAACTGAAGGATCCCAATCTGAATACGAAACTCATGCTGGGACCTTAAAGGCTTAATACTAAATCCCCTACAAGCATTAGTTAAATTCCCTGCTTTTCTGTGATAAATGAAATTGGTTCAAGATTCAAACATTAGAATATTTTCTTTAAAATTGTTTAAAGTATTTATATTCAAATATATTTACATATAGGTTATTTCCAGTATTTTAAGATTTACCTTTTATTAACAAATACATATTTTTCCATATTTCTTGGTGTTTTTTTTTTAAATTTTAATGGCTGATTTTTTTATACGGTGTTATGTTGAGTACATATTTGTTACTGTTTATTTTTTATTAGTTGTATAACTTATAGATCTTGTGTATGTGTGTGGTATTCCCCTTTCAGTTACTGAATCATTGGGTTTCCGTTCCAATTAGTCTTCAAAATTCAGCTTATCCATGGTTTTCGCCAAATCGGTCGTGTCATCGCTCTTATCGTAGTCATTCTCCGAAAATACAAAGGCTCCCTCCTGCAATTTGGCTCTCGATGTCGGCGAAGTCCAATTCAATCAAAGCCAACGGCAGGAACGGATTGATCCTCCGGCGGGATCGCTCGATTATGGAGTCCACATCATCGAAGCGCCGCAACAGATGCATCAGCTTTCCTCGAGTCGCCTCGAACTTGGACATCACCACGTGGTCTGGTTGGGATTTGGTTGCCAGGGTTCTTGGTCGGAAGGCGGGCTTCCGCTTGTAATGGCGCAGCTTCAGGGAGGGTCTATTGCCATTCAGGTGGGCAAGCCACCTCCAGTTGTGTTCCTTCTTCCAGGGCGGCACGCTCATTATTAATATCCAGTTGTGAAGTTGTTTAGACAGCAAACGCTCCAAATTTTCTCTGTCAATTGCCTTCAGTCATTAAATAATGTGACCCTTGTAAACAGAAATACCTGCGTAATTGGATTATTTAATTTTTAGTTATATAATTTTTTTAGATTCCATCTAAAATATATCACACGATTTTTAAATTTTTAAAATCATTCATTTCGTTCATATTAAGCTGCATTTTCTTTTTACTACTTTGCAAGAAATACTTAATTTGAAAAATATTGCAGACCTTTTGTACTGCTCACTTTTCCCAGTAGTCCTTAATTCGGCTTCATTGTTGATAAACTCGATGTCGTTATATCGCTATCCTCTTGAACGCTTCTCTGATTTTCACAATCAAATTGAATGCAGCTCGACGGCTTTAGCGCCAAATTCTGACAAAAGATGCCAATGGCAGTATTTTAAGTCAACTCGAGCGCCGAAAAAAGAGTATTGGCTCAACTGACAGCTTACTCAAAATATGTCAATCAAATTCAGCTTTCGCTTTCTCCTTTTCCCTTCTCCTACCAAGGTTAACGCAAATACTTATAAAGCCAAGAACTCTGATTTGGGACTGTAGAGTGAGGTGTTCTACCGACTAGACACTTTTCTGGCTATTTTGCATGCAAATTAAATGCGCATTAACATCAGCCTTTAAACTTTAATACCAAGCCGAACTTATGCAAAGCTCAAATGGGTTGATTCGCTAGTCGCAAAATACTTCAAAGCTCCTTGAGCCATTTACATATGTAAATATGGAAACACAAAAGACTTAGCCTACGGGCTTTTCCACTGGCCATCGTCGGGTTTCTAGAGTGATTACGGTGTTTAATTGTTCTGTGGAAGTAACTTGCATAAGTTTCATAAATAACAGATTAGCAAAAAATGTATACAAAAAAATATTTCCATTGATAAGTCGAAAATTTAAGAGGATTAACTTGTAAACGTTTCAGAGAGTTATATAAAAATTGATATAAACTGTTTACTTAAATTATATCACAATATTTGGGTCTAGAAAAAAGTAAAAACTATTTATAAATATTACAATTTTATTAGGTATTTTTGCAACAACTCAAAATTGTTTAGATCAACATCAAATCGGTTGGGAAATTACAACACCCTCTCAAGCTAATGATAAATTTTCAAAAAGCCCAAACGGCGACATGTGGTGCTACTCATCCTGCTTTCCCTTTCCGAAACCCCTCCGAAACCCCTGGAAAATGGCAACTATCCCCCGCTGAGCAGCTGCTCTCGACCAAATTGAATGTGTCAGATGATCAGATGAGTAGAGTGGAGTGGCGACCCAGACGGGTGTTTTTAATATAAATCATTGGCCAAATAGTTGCGTGCTCGCATTAGTGGGCCAAATACCTGGCTGCCACGAACAAAAGTTTTTCGCATTTTAAAGGAGAATTTATTTGCGAATTTCGGGCACGTCGCTCGTGCCGTTCGAGGGCCTCCCGCAAAGTTGCGGCTAATCAATTTAAAGTTGCACCCAAGGAGCAACGAACATGGACAAATGGATCCCAGATCCCAGACACATATGCATGCATAAATTTCCGAGAGGAGAGTGGAGAGGGAGAGGCCACATCAAAGTTCAGGAGCTCCTTTGTTTGCCGCCGGCAAACGTGACACTGCCATTTGGGCTCTAAATGTCTATTGTTGGCTGCTAATTGTTCCAGTTCCTGACCAGAGGGTCGAATTGTAGGCTATCCTCTTCTATTCAATTAGGAACACGTTCGCAGGAGTTCACATGACACGAGCTTGGTGTCATAAATTATTCCAAACCACTGAACTCAGCTAAGACATATAGATACAATGGCCTAATTGCTCTGTTTAACTAATATGAATATTTATATGGCTCCTTTAAATTTAAAACATTTTTAAAAAAGAAAATATAGCGTTGTTGCTATAATTTAGCTTAATTTTTATACCCTTGCAGAGGGTATTATGATTTAATCAAGAATTTTCACGGCGGGAAAGGAGCCCCCCCCCAAAAAAAAAAAAAAATATAAAAAAAACCAAAAAAAAAAAAACCAACCCCCCCCCCCCCCCCCCCCCCCCCCCCCCCCCCCCCCCCCCCCTTCCCCCCTTCCCCCTTTCCCCCTTTTCCTCTCTCCCCCCCCCCCCCTTTCTTTTTTTATAATAAAAAAAAAAACCCAAACCCAAAAAATTATTTAATATAAAAAAAATATAAAAACCCCCCCCGCCCACAACAAAAAAAAAAAAAACAAAAAAAACAAAAAAAAAAAAAAAAAAAAAAAAAAAAAAAAAAAAAAAAAAAAAAAAAAAAAAAAAAAAAAAAAATAAAAAAAAAAAAAAAAAAAAAAAAAAAAAAAAAAAAAAAAAAAAAAAAAAAAAAAAAAAAAAAAAAAAAAAAAAAAAAAAAAAAAAAAAAAAAAAAAAAAAAAAAAAAATTCATATCTACTTATCTAAGCATACATTTTTTACAAACAATTAGTTGTTATACTTGTGAAAATATTTTAATTAAATTTATGTATAAAACCCTAATACCAGTCGTTTTTTTCTAATAAGTTAACCAGCTATTAATGGAGGGCTCCCAAATGTCTATCCAACTGGGAAGCGGCAATAAATGTTCGCATTCCGCTGTTGTTATCTTACAAGCCATAACTAATTTCTAAGGAATCAGGATACCTGCCTTAAGTACATACCCGTACCCCATCCCAAGCCAATTCCATGTCAGCCCCGGCGTATGCGCGATATTAATAACAGGCCAGCAATCCCGCACCTGCTGTTTGGCTGAAATTTACACACAAAAGCCATGTTAAGTGAAGCAAATATTTCTGCATTTTGCTGGCAAAAGTACTTAAAGCATTTATTACGCAGCTTTTCGTTTCGGATTTATGGGTTTTTAAGCATTCGCATAAGGCCCTCGGGGGAGATCAGGCCATATATTTTAAGATAAACACCATAGTATATGTACTTTTAAGCTCTCTTTTAATTTTCTCCGTTAATTTCCCTCTTATTTTCAGGCGATGCCAGACTGAGGCGCAATCATGCTACACTTAAGGCTATTCGATAGCTCGTTCTACTACGCCCTGGAGTCCTCGGGGGTGGTGTCCACCTCCTCCTCCTCCGCCGCTGTCTCCTTGGCCGCCTCCACCTCCACGGAAAGGGCGTTCAATGGCAGCCTGGAAGGGGCAGAGGGCGCTGGGGGCGTGGACGACGTGGCGGCAGTTAATCTGACATATATCACACCTGCGATATCACACGTGATTCTGGCGCCAACAACGATACCCCCAATGGTCCAGATTCCAATCCAGACGACAGCGGCGCCATGTCACGACTTCGACTTAGAAGCGGTCGGCAATTCCACATGCGGCGACAATTTAAATTCGTTCTACTTTTATGAGGTGGGTGAGAGAATATTCGCAGACACACAAACTAATTTATTTATTCGAAATCGAAGACACAGCTGTGTACGCTGCAAATTTTTGAATTCTAACTCTTGAACAGTACTACAATAAATGGCAAATTGCAATACATTTTTCATGCCACAAAATGTGATTTAAGAATTTACATGCAAACCACGTTTGGGGGAGGAGATATTAGGGGTTTCCTTTTAAATTCAAATAAAAATGATTTACTTAGCGGAAGGATTTCAGTGGCTGCAGAATATTAATGCTATATTTATTCAAAGTGGGGGAAATTTTTTTGTAATGTGTAATAAAAATTTTTGATAGTTTAAATTTCAATTTACCTTACTTAAACATTTTTTTGTGGTAAATACTTCATCATTTTTAATAAGCACCTTCAGCAAGTTTACTTCCTGTGAAATTAAGAATAAACAATATCAATTCGATTTACTTTTATGAGGTGGGTGCGAAAATATTGAAAGAATATTGCCCACTTGCCCATTTTATTTCTTGTGTTGTAAAGGCGCAGGTGTATGCCATTATTGCCACTTTAATCGAATCACTGAAAAAAAAAATACATTAGATAAAAATAAATATTGCATTTTTAAGTAAGATAAACACTGAATATGTTTAAACTTAAATATTTTTTTTAATTACATTTTTTTATTTATTTTATAGATTTATCTTTACACTAGTGCATTACTGCAGAAGCTGCAGCAGGATTTTTTTGCTAGGTCCATACCGAAATCGTACAAAGGATAACTGCGAAGAAAGGGTCAAGTCCGTGCGGGCTGCTTGTTTTCTTTATTTCAAAATTTTCCTTTTCGTTGAAAAGCAACGAAGCTGCAGCAGGACTTCATTTCAAAGCTGATAGAGTCCATAAAACCAAATGTCATTCGGCAGCTGGAAATTAAGAAAATCCAAGAAGAGGCAAAACTTTTGTATGCCGGGGTGAAAGACTCGCATTAAATATGCAAATGGCGAGATGGGAGGGGCTAGGAACACTCTTTATCAATGAGGGGACAATCAATCAGAGGGCCCAGCAGATCGTGACAACAACTTCGATTAAACTAAACTTCCGTTCGTCTATTTTTTTCCACTCGAAGGCTGCCATAAAAAGCAGGCCATGAATGTAATGAAATTTCCATACCATGCCAAACCATATAGCATATAAATCACACCATTGTTGGAACGGAAGTATCCCTCGACCGAGCCAATTTCCAGACAGCCAAGTTAAAGCGCGCCAATCACTCAAAAAGGAGTGTGCGTGCGTATGTGCGTGCCATAAATTCGGGCTTATTTAAATGAGTCCCCTTTTCCAAGACCACAGAAAATTGGAGACTTTGGGATCCGCAGCACCATATGGCATCTCGCTTGACAAAGAGCGATGTCAAGGGTTTGGTCTTCCTCGCTTGGGAGGAAAACCGAATGTAACAATAACCTCATGGCGGCTGGCTAAGTCTTATTGATTTGTTGTTTGCATAGTTGGTTCTGGCAATAAAAAATATTATATTCATATTTTGGTACTCTGGCACACAGCTTTATTTACACAGCTGAACTTTATAGCGGAATTTATTCAATTTGAATAAATAAATGTAAAAAAGGTTCGCTTAAAAAGTTCATAATCTGCAACATAAATTTACTCTTTCAAATTACTTTTTGTACTAGTGAATATTGTGTCCATATTAAAAATACTGATAAAACTTTTTTTAAATGTTAAACAATTTATTCAATCCTTTTCTAAAAATAACTTTTTTAGTCCGCTCAACCTGAAATTAAATAACCAAAAAGTGTTTATTTTCGGACTCTATTTCGTTACACCCCTATTAACAAGCCTTTGACAACTGCCAGCAAATGAAAAATAAATAAAAAATATATTTTACATGGGTCTGATAGACTTCAAAACGAAAGTTGCTTTTGGTAATCTGTCACACAGAAGGCGTCGCAAAAAAAATAAAGAGGAGATAAAAGCAGTGGCAAAATGTTGGCATAAAAAGGTCGCTGAACTGGCAATATTTTCCTTAATACTAAATGTGTATGTGTGGGGTGATGACTCGGGTGCCAGGACCCAGAAAAGGGGTCCCATATGATTTGCAATTCAAATGGCTTAGTTGAGGATTTGGCCTGACCAGCGGTCATCCGTGGCACAATTGTGATTGCTTTTTCCATTTCCAAAATCTCACGAAATCCCCTGTTAACACTATTAAATCATGTTTAAGTAACCAAACTGAATTTGCCGACCTTGTTGATATCTCACCTTAAAGTTGAGGGTTTTGTCACAGATATGCCAATTACAACTGCATTGGGAAAGAAAAACTGGGCAGCTGGGGGGTTGGGAGGTCGGGAGGTTGGGTGTTTAGCCAATGTCACACTATTGACCATGGCCATCTGCGCATTGCTGTCCAATATAAACGAGAAAGCGGATCTGGAGGCATTAGACGACGCCAATAAACGGAATCGAACGAATTTCACCCGACTTGAAGCGAATTTTTCCTGAAAGAATCGACAACATTGCGCCATTTGATGTTTGTTTGTTTGTTGGCCGGAGGAAACGAAACGATGGCATATTATGCAGCCGCACATTTTCTTTGGCCATTGAGGAAAATTTGTGCGTGGGTGGGTGTGAGTAGAAAAAGGAAAATATTACATCCTTGGCTTAGCCTTCACACATCGCATCTCAGCTTATTACTCCATAATTACATATGCCCTAATGAGACTCTCTCGCTTTTGCCTTCACCATTTCAAGGCAATTCAATCCCACCCACGTTCCGATTTTCCTCTGTAGTGCCACTCCATCTAATTTTAGCTCGGACCTCATGTGGTCCGCTTGTTATAACGCATATATTAATATTACACAATTTAGCTACAACAATGGTGACCCTGGTGGGCTGGCTAATGTGACCATCAAAGGCCAAAATTAATTGCCATTTTCTGGGGTGACAAAGCAAATATTTGAAAAATAACAAAAAAAAAGAAAACACGGCCTGTTTGCATGATGATAAAAGTCAAACAGCTGCCAACATAATAATAGTAGCTAAATTGGCCTTCAAAGGGAGGATGGGGGTAAATATAATAAGTGCATATAAAGTTTTATGAATGAAATTATATTTTGGAGGCAGCAGAAAACTTTAACATTGTATTAGCATATTCGAACGGTTTTAAAAACATTTTACTTGTTTTTACAATGCCTTCATGGAAATTTATCTCATGTTATTTTCCAAAATAATAAATTGTTCGCATTACAAATATCAATTTAAAATGTAGATTTTAAAATAATATAAAAATGAAATCATTTGTAAAGGAGTCTTAGAATATGGAAAAAATATATTGTACATAAGAGTTACTTAAAGGCACATTTTTTTTAAATTTCAAAACTCTAGCTGTAAAATTTACAGAATTTAAAACTTAAACTTTAAACATTTTAAATCTACCCATATAAAAGGATTGCCCTTAAGCGAAATTTTCACACCCACCGCAATTTCCTTTGCTTTGGCAAATATTATTCTGCAAAAGCGAAAGCGCGTCGATTCCAAGAACTCATTAATCTAGCGCAAAAATGTGTCTTAAGCTTATTTGCCAAGGAAAATTAAGCATGTGCAGGCAGCAGAACGGCGAGACTTGACGCATGTAAAATATGGGACACATGTCCTTGTCTGCGATGTCTGGGCCCTAAGTTCTCTGGGTTTAGAACCTGTTTCTGATTCTGGAAGGTTAAACACTTAGTGGCCACAAAGCGGCATCATTAACCGACTGACTGGATGGCTGGCTGAGCTGAGCTGCAAGTGTGATATTAACCCATTTTCCCGCTTTTTTAGCAATTTAATTTGCCTTTGTCGAGAGGCGTTGGCCAGTGGGGAAAATGAAAATTACAGCACTAAGCGGCTTGCGAGAATAAATTTACCCAGCGACTGGAGAGCGCTCAGCTGAGCTGCTTGTTTATGATGTTAACCGCGCTTTGAGTATTTGCCCAGCCCTCGAGGCAGTAAATATATAAACATATGTGCGAGCAAACTGCTTTTTTTCGACTCCTCCAACTTGTGTAAGGTGTAATTACACTTTGCCGAGCTTTAATGCAAATTAAAGCATAATTCCAGGCGGCTGACACGCGTGGCCGGGCTTAATTACACTCTGTTGACAAAACAAAATGCCCACAAGGCCATCAAGTGCTTGAGTGGCCAACAAGAAATGTTCAAATGTGACCATGGGGACCGAACGCCGCTTACTTGGCTAAAAATGAGTTAGCAACATTATTTGCCCATCGGCCAGCGCAACGCTGACCACTGTGACTCTGGTCCTGCTCTATTCCAACATCAATTTTATTAAGGCAGGCTACGATTCGCAGGATGGCCGCAGGTCCTTGATGACTTCTGCCTCCTGGCCCGCCCCCCTTGGAATCCTTGGGCCCAGCCCATAAAATACTTTTTGACAAGAGTTTTATCCGGCACGTCGCATGTTAGTTGGATGTGTCATAGCGATTTATAAGGATTTGTTGCCGCCAAGAATAACCACTGACAGTTGCAGTGAGAAAAAGCAGAAGAAATGGTTCAGGGAGTAAGGTTACTAACGGCATTCAGGGAAATATAAAAGAAGGCGGTTCATCGTCTTTAGGTTTTTATTTCCCAGAACTTCCGTTTAAGGAAATGAAAATATTATACCAAAGATTGTCTTTAATATATTTGTAATCCAAAAATTATTTTAATTTATTCCAGAATACTACGTCCTTTTTTCGTTGCATACTTTTAGACACCTTTATATTTATTTCACAATTTCTGTTTTATTTTTTAGATTTCTATATGAAATCGTTTTGCTGAAGGTTGATCTTTCTGCTTAAAATATAAATTATTTTATAGTAGGCAAATATTATCGTTTAAATTACCTTATTTTGTTGCATAATAAGTTCCTCTTCCTATCTCTCAGTGATCTACTTCCCGTCTTGTTTTTGCTTTCGATAAAATATGAGAATTGTATTTCACTCGGCATTGAAAGTCATTGCACTT